GGTGCGGGGGTTGATGGCTGCCATGAAAATCTGCCACAGCGGGGAGCCGACCCCGCACAGAGTGGATCCACAGAACCTCTTTTTTTCTGGGGAAAGCATTTTAGATTCTACACTTCTCTGCTCATGAGGAAAACGTGGATAATTATCTGTAAAAGAAAGAGCACGAGGAAAAATGAAGGTTAAATAACATTCAATATGATCTTGATTAATGACGGCAGATTTAACAGCTCAGGAAACAACCAATTTACAATCTGTAATCTCTAATTCTAGAAGTGTGCTGTTTCCATCTGCAGTCTGACATGACCATGAACCTCTTACGATTCGAATAGTCTCCAACAGTTTCCCAAGTGTAAACGCTTTTACATGACGCATGTTTTAAATATTAGCAATTTAAGAATCTAACAAGAGCACTTGGAAAGCGCATGCACCTCTGCCAACGCACATTTGCTAATGCAAATGGGTTCCATGTGAAAACTGAGATGCAGAACAACATAAAAAGTGTCCCAAAAATCCTTGATCCGGATCTGATATGGATCATCTTTTAGGGATGTGCACCTCACCTGAATATTTCAGGGTTCTATGTTCATTAAATGGGGCTTAGTGTTAACTTTAAGTTGGCAACAGATCCAGAATCAGCGTCTGATCCAGATGAAATTTGGCCTGGTGTGTCAAATTTCAAATAAAAAATGATTTTGATAATTACTGAAATTGATATGAATTTTTTTTTATTGCTCAATATAAAAGATTTTTTGATGATTTTTTTCCTTTCTTTTTGTGACCTTGACCTTTGACCTTTTTCAACCTAAATCTAATCACTTCTAGGGTTGATCCCCACCGATGTCTGTACCAGTGTCTAACCAACACACACATACCAAAACCAAAAACATTACCTCCTCAGTGGACGTAACATCACTGACCCTCGTTCTCAAGGGTTAATGTCAGAATGATCTGTGAGTAATACCCCAGTGCTTCTTTAAATAGTACATTTAAAACATAGCTGGTAGAAAGAAGAAATAAAATAACACAAGTTGAGCACCACAACAATCAGCATTGTTATTTCCATGTCATCCAAAGATAGAGCTGTAATGTTTATCATGCCCAGTTGCATCATTTCATTCTCTTCCATCCTGCAGTATCTGCTGCTGTCTGCTTGTTTCAAGCTACTTTCTAAACAGGAGCTGGGAAACATCTTGACTGAGCATCACTACATCTGTCAAGAGTTGGACCCTGGAGGGCTGTATCTGCCAGCGACATTCCACCTCTGACAGGTGAGGAAGTGAGAGTGAGAGAACAGGAAGGAGGATGTGAGGGGGTAAAGGAGTAGTCCAAGGCAGCTGGAGACCACGTTATTGGACAAGATTCTTGTTGTGTGAATTAACAGAAATTGAATGGATAGAACCCATATACCTTTTCAAGTCCTCATTAATAAATGGTTATTAATGATATATGATATGGCTGATTAATAATGTTTGATAATGATATCAAGATTCTAGACTCTAGTTCTTGAATACTCAAGGGATAAATTCACATTTTGCATTCTTACAACAAAAGGTGGATTTACACAAATCACAAAAAAATCTTTTTTTACCCTTGGTGGAATCTGGCCACAGTTTTGGCTTTATATATGTATGTGTTTGTCGTTATTGCTGTTGTTTTTATTTGTGGTGCTAGAGGCACAAGGATGCATTAAAAAACTCAACAGCAACATTTCCTCTAAAGAAGAACTGTAATACACAGACTTTACTCTTCGCATCTTTCATCAGGACATATTCTCTACCAAAGGTAACAACTGGAGCAGTGAGTGGCAATCAAGAGTAGCTAGGACATTGTTTCTACAAAGACACATTGTCGAGTATGTGACATTATCCAAAGGTTGTTGTAACCAAACTATGAGCTTTAGGTGTCAAACATTCACAATAGATTATATGTTGACAATGATAGTAGTATTAATATCCATACATAAACGGTTAAGTCAAATGTGCTTTGAAACAAAACCAACAGTCTGCAGTACAGCCATGCTAGCAGCTCTGAGAGTCTGTAGTTTAGCTACAGTGGTTCTTTGAACTCAGTACTAACATTTGGATGCTAAAGTGCTCACAGTGGTAAAGCTAACATACCCGTTTGCCCTCTCAGCTTAGAGTGTTAACATGCTAACATTTGATAATTAGCACTAAACAAAAAGTACAGCTAAGGAGATTATGGGAATGTCATGAGTAATGACAATTCATCCTGTGGACCACAACCATCTGTAGCACATTTCATGGCAATTCATCCAGTAGTTGTCAAAACCTCAGAGCAAAACTAAAGGAACTGTGACAGAACACAAAAGTCATTTGGATACATGGTCTGGGCACCATGAATGTACAAAATTCTGAAACAGTTCATGTACAACACCAGTTCTGAAAAAGCTGAATTGTAAATAAATGAATAAAATTATTTGGAAATCCTTTTAAAACCCATATTTAATTGAAAATAGTACAAAGACAACACATCAAATGCTGAAACAGTTTTTTTTTAAATAAATTTGTTCATTTTAAATTTGACACCAGTAACACATTTCACAAAAGTTGGGACAAGGACATGTTTACCCCTGTGTTGCATCACTTCTTTTAACAACACTTGGCATTGTCTTGCTGAAACAAACAAGGCCTTCATTGAAAAAGACTTTGTCTGGATGTTGGCATATCTTGCTCTATATATTGTTCAACTTTAATGGTGCCTTCACAGATGTGCATGCCAGCACACTGCCACACAGTAACTCTGGGATGGTCTTTTTTTATACCTAATCATGATCATGATACTGATCTGTTCCCAATTAGCCTAATTATGTGCAAGGTGTTCCCCCAGGTGTTTTTTTTTTTTTTACTTTTCCAGTCTTTTGTTGTGCCTGCCCCACATTTCTGGAATGTTTTAATGGCATAAAATTCAGAATAGGTGTATCTAAACCAAAATATATTAATTTGAACATTATATATCTTATTTTTATACTGCTGCCAAATGAATTTGGGGTTATCAAAACATTTTGTTCTGTTTTTATTTACAATTTACACAGCATCCCAACATTTCTGGAAATGGGGCTGCAGTACTGTAGACTGAGATAGTTCATGTAGCAAGTGAAAACACTGACCTGCAGTTGGCACTGGACTAAAGAAAGGTCAGGGAATTATCAAAGTCATTATTACTTATCATCAAGGAACCTTGAATATCTGTAGCAAACGTTATGCTAATCCATCCAGTAGATGCTGTGATATTTCAGTCTGGACCAGAGGTGGACCAATCAAATGTAATGATAATGAAAGGGGTTTTAAAAAATAGATCGTTCAACAGACAGATTTCAAAAGACTAAAGTACTTTGTATACTTATCTCAAGGAATCACCAAAGTCAAGAGGTACATGTTTTGTACAACTGCTTTCTACAGTTCATGAAGGTTTGAAGATTGACAACATATACAATAGGTCTATACTGTAAGAACAACATTTCTATTCTTCACAGTTCTACAGCCAGGCCTCAAGATTTCCCTCACATCTGGACAAAGGAGGGAGGTGCCCTATTCTGGACATGGTGTAGGGCCATGGACAACGGGTGTGGAGAGAAAAGGGGCTTGCCAGGTGCATCCAAAAACATCTGGAACCTCTAACAGATGTACGAACCATAGCATCTGGAGAAGTGTTTCTGCTGATGGATCATTTTGTGGCAAAGGTCTTCCTTGACAACAGCACGCTTCAAGAGTGATGACAGATCAAGCTGTCAAACCATGAAAATAGTGAAGAGAACATGTGAGCTAGGTTAGAAAACAATTCTGAAACAAACTTCAACAATGCTTACAGCAATAATGCACTGGAATTCTGTTTTGGAGGGGGAAAAAATCCCTCAACCTCAGGTCAGAGAGCCTCCACTGGTGGAAAAATCAATGATGATTTCTACTCCACACAGTATTTCTACATCAGCCTGATTCCAGACCTCTGAATCATTGCACACATCTCTGATTTGTTCAGTGATGTAAAAAAGGTCTGGGGTTTTCCCTGGTTGGAAAAACAACCAACCCTATCGGAGGTTTCCCAGCGGGATTAAGAATCAGGAGTCACCTTGCTACATAGCTAGCCAGCCAGCCAGCTAGCTACAAAACTGTCCATAGAAATGGTACTGACCACATGCTGGTTGGTGTCAACTTAGAAAAAAGAACTGTGAAATCTGCATATTACTTCGATCAATAATCAAAATGTTAAATGTTCTTGCAACTGCTTCAAAAGCTTCTTCAGGAACTAAAAATAACGTTGGTGGGGTCCTCGTTACTGAGTAGTTGGGGCAGAACAACCCCACAGGGCACCATATCAGTTTATTCATGTTTTCTCCTGGCCTTAACATTTTGCCTTCTGCGGGGGCTACCATGACGGTTTAAAGATAATACCTAGTATTGTAGTATTGATTTAAACATGAAGGCTTTTCAGTCACTCATACATTTTGCCTAAAAAGATTACATCTTATTACTTTGCATTACAGACTGTTGAAACCACTATTAGATGCAAAATGACATTTTAGAAACAACCTTTTGTAAAACCAGATCCTCTGTCTGTTATCAGGGAAATGTAAACTCATTAAATTAGTTATGCAATTCTTTAAAAGAAAACAGCGTTGCTTGATTTTTACAGAATATTTACAAATAGAAGAATTGATAGCATATTAGTGTTTTGCCACTAATGTAAGATCAATAACTGAAACTGTGTCGTCCTATTCCATGTTAAAAAAAACACTGGTCAGAGTCGTACAGAGCATCTAGGGTCTATCTGACCAGCTGTGCCCCTGGGAAGTCACTTAATCGAGGACATGATGTTTAACATCCACTTTGTAATCACTTAAACAACTAGCAGATGATGATCACTTCAGTCCAGATTGACAGGTTGTTTGTGAAAATCCCTCTTGGGTCAACAGAAAGCAATGAAAAGCAATAAAATCAGTCTGGGACAAGATAAGGGCCAGATGGAGCAGCTGCTGAATGCTAACTGTCTTCACTTCTTCAGTGATTTAACCTTTCCGTCTGCACTCTGCTTGCTTTTTCACTTAGGGATGAGGAATCACTATTCCTACCCTAAAATTGACAGTCACCTCTGGGAAGCCATCACATGATTAATGACTTTGTAAAGCTACTGGAAGTTTGGAGAGAGGACACGTTCGGTGTTCACTCCAGATATGTTTACAAAATTCCTCAGTGTTTGTTTGGGAGGAGGGGTTAGGTGATGAGCAAAAAATGTGGCCCCAAGCCATCCAAGGTCCAAGGCAGCCAAGCATTGTCTCACTGGGAACAGTGAGTTGACAGTGATGAAGAATAGATGTTCCTCTAGGGAGATTAAGGAAGGGCAGATTATGGAAACCTCCTGTCTCTCAACGATGTGCCTATGCTCTTAACACAGATGGATGAAGAGTAGTATCAGGTATGTGTCAAGAGAACTGGAGAGATTCTAACATCTCAGACACAACATTTATGACACATTTTTACAGATTACAGTGCACAGTTAATTTTATAAGAAGCTGAGTTGACAGTCCTGCGGGTAGCAGGCCTTAGTGGATAAATCCACAAGCTTGACATTTATTGGTATGGAAGGAAATCCAAGTTTTAAAAATGTTTTACATGTCAATATGTTTATGGCATATTTATTTGAAAAAAATGACCATCACCATTCCCTTTGAAGCCGAAAACATCGCATGAACTTCCAGGTAGTATCAGGTGCAAATATTCCTTGAAAGAAGATACTCCTTGAGCTGAGCATCATGAAATATTTCCTCCACTTGTCGCCTTCCTGATAACCCAAACATCCACTTCTCTTTAAATACCTAAAATCTATCATTCGTGTCTTGGAGTATAATTTGAAATTTGATATGGGAATTACTGCTTAAAAATTAAAAAGAGCAGACTTGGTGGCCCTACTGTGGGTGCCCATGACCCATGAAATTAAATGTGGTGTGGCTTTAAGTTCTCCAGCAGTTGAGAACCTGTGGATATTTTTAAAACTTGTCACATTAGCCTGAGTCTGAAGGCCATAAAAACTAAGTGGCTCTTCAGTGGTTGCCACAGTGCTCTGTCACAGCAAGGCACACATCCAATTACCAGCTAAAACATATAAGCTTACATACAAGAAAGATTTTATAGGCGCTTCTGTTTGGATCATGGTATGATTATAAGTTTTAAGATGCTTGATTAAGTCCTTCTTTGATGTTTGGTGACAGATTTCAAGAGCTTTGTTTTCATCTGATTCAAACATTCTTTAATGGCAAGTTTTTTAAATAAATAAAAAAAGCAAACACCTTAAGGTACACAGGACAGAGGAGCTTCCCTCTGGAGAGCAGAGCTCAATTCTATTATTAGCTTGTATTTCTCAAGAGTTTTTGTTCCTAAATGTAACAACATGCTTTTGCTATATGTGACCAAGTAGCCTTTCCCTAAACCTACCCAAGTAGTTTTTGTGCAGCAATGAAACAATGACAGTCTCATAATTGTAATATCATGTTTATGAGTTTAAGATGACAGAATTCCAGTAGCTTGCTGCTAGCTAGTCATCATGTTTATGGCTGTTTCCATGATGACAAAGGTCCATAAAGCTTGGCAGTGTGACGTACATTGACATTAATGTTGGCAGAATTGCTGCAATTCTTCCTGTGACTGCAGGGATGATATTTAATGAGACGCCATCAGGGGGAAGGGACAAATGATCATTAGGGTCCTATAGGTTGGAGGACCTGTTGATGATTTGCCCCTACTCACGGTAAATGTCTGTTATGAAAAAATGTCGTCCCAAAGGCTCCGAACGGCCATAACTTTTTACAACCTCTGAAGTAAGAGTCAAATTCAAATGTTCATGCACAAGACCTCAGGATATTTTTAACAAATATTAGGGTCGGAATGAGGGAACATGTCACCTAGTGCAGCATTGTGTTTCTCTGATGTGTTTTTAATCATTTTTGAACAACAGTGGAGGCCTATGGCCCAGACGAGTAAGCTAATTCAGGACTAACAGACATTAACAGTGAGAACAATCAATTCATTGCTGGTTTTAGTCTCTGTATGGGGAGTGTGAACAGAGAAACAGACCAACCTTATCCTTCAAGTTATTTTCAGGGCAGAGTCAATCCCACAGCCCTTCTATTTATTTATCAGTTTTATTACCCTTACATATTGCATTGGAAAGGAAATTTCTCACTTTTTAATAAAGTTTTATATGGAGATCTGTATGATTCATTCTCAAAAATTAGGCAGCGCTACATGTAGCATCGGGATGTTCTGGGTTTAAGACCAGCATTCCTGAAATGAATTATTACATACATTACTACATATTATTACATATATATGATGTGTGACAAATCCAACCACTTCCAATGTAGCATACTGAGTGCCTTTTGTGGGCATTTTAGGCAAAATGATGCCTGATTTTAAGGCGGCACTTCTTTAGTGAATAATAGTTTTAATTTAACAACATCGTGATGATTTACTGTTTTTAAATAGAGATGTTCTTTTTGTATTTAATGACATATTTAAAAAAGTGACAAATTTATGTATTCCTGAATTCCCATAAAAGGGACATAAAAATGTTGTCTTTCTCCACGCATAGTGTCATATTTCTAAACGGAAGCAGATGGTGCTTGTAACCGGTGTAGCCGGGTACTCTACGTGACTTCTTCTTGCAGCAGTTCCAAAAAGAGGCTTATTATAGTTCATGTCATTTTATTTCTGATGAGATGACTTTGTTAAAAGTGCATGGTTACTTCTTGGTTGTGAGAGCGGTGTACAGTTGCCCTGACTGCTGATCACAACCTGAGAAGCAGTAGCGCTGCACATTAGTGAAGTAATCGGAGAACAGACACCTATCTGGATGACGCCATGTGAAATGAGTACTCTCATATCAAGGTTTTGATAGTCAACATTTTGCATGCATTCCCAAACGGTTCCTTTCCCCCCCATTTTTTATGATGGGTTAATCATTAGCAAACACAATTTGTTGCACAAAATGTAAAACAACAATAAACAAAAAAAGAATGCGACAAATGGTTTAAAAGGCTGCTGGCAAAAAAGTACTTGCTGACCTTTTGAACCGCGTGGTCACATGTTTTTAAAGATGGCCATCAGTTAATCCTCCCCAATTACTCTGATATGCCTCTTGGGTGCCAAAGGCAGCATGTATATTGTAGATTCTGTTACTGTAAGCATTAATAGATATAAGCAACACTGAGACGTTTAAAACCAGAGTGTATGCAGGAGTGAGGGGCAAAAAGCTGAGGGGCGATGAGTGCAAGAAGGGGTAAGGGTCCTCACCAGTATTTACTCATTCCCAGAGGCGCTTTGCAGTGTTAGGCCTGCAGCATGTAAAACGAGACGTGTGCTGTGGTTTGACCTTTCAGGATCCCAACTATAATATTATGATAACATGAGTGATCAGATTTCACTTCTCCCAGTGTCCATATAAAAAGGTGATGAGAGAAAATCTCATGGGACTATCACAGAACACAATACCTCTGTGTTGACAAAACTGAATTTCCTTCACTTATATCCCTTTTTGAGACACAACCAAATCATTACATCAGGTCTATCAAAAGTGATTAGGAAATTATATGAATGATTAAAATAATATATACTTTTGCCAGTCTCATCCTTTTTCATTGCTGGGTACAGCCTAGCTCAGTTTGTTTCCCCACAGGAAACCTCAAGCAACACTTAACACCAGAATGATGCCTTTAGGAAGTGACACCACTACAAGCTAGCACAGTGACAACAACTTGATCAACTTTGTGGTTGAAACTGCACTGCAAATCTTTGGTGCATTTAATGCAGGCAGGGATAATATACAACTATCTATCAAAACTATAGGCTGAGCAGCTGGCAGTAAATGAGGGAAAAGAATTATGGGTACTTGCTGGCACAGTGTACACCTCTGGTTTGGAGCTTGCCAATAACGATTTCAAATGAAGTTAGAGTCAGCTATCAGTCTGCAGTTTGAAAATGGCTGTTGTTAATCCAAAAAACGCTAAGTTTGGAAGGAATCAATCTGCAAAGCCAAAACATTCAATATATAATTCAAACAGTAGCAAATGGCTCAGGAGTTTTACTTTGGCTGTCAACTACATGTGGTTATCTTTGGCCAGCCATACCTGGTAAAAGGCATAAAATGTCTCATCACTACACAGTCTGCTCAGTTTTACTATGGAAAAATGTGTTGATTTGTATGTTGTGGTTGAACATCATTTGATTAGAATGTAAAAAAAATTAGGTAGTTGACACGGAGAATAATCAGCTGCATGAAAATGGCACAGCTGCCTCACCGATATTGCACTGTTGCGTGTTTTCATTGAGGTGTCCACTTGTTACAGCTCTAAAGGCCTCAGCAGAGCCTTAGCTTCCAGGTCTGTAGAAGGGATGTCAAACAGGTGCTGGAGAAATGGTCGTCCATGGATGCAGGTTCTCTTGTTCTCACCGAGCTGCTGTTCCATTTGCAAAACGGTCTCCTCCACATCTTCCCTGGATAGATTTGTAGGAAGCTGACGGGCAAGTCGTACTGCTTCGCCCTGTGAGGGAAAAGTCACAATTCAAATATTTAATAAAACAAAAACTAAATACTACAGCGATGTCATTCTCATTTTAATTCATAGCATCTCTCACTTGTAGATAGTTTGTGACTTTAAGTGGTCGACACTCTTGCAAGGTCCTGGCCTTCCTGCGAAGAACGGCAGTCAGGATCTCCCTGAGGTCCTCTACACCGAGGAAAGGCACGCAGTCTGCTATTGCTGTCACTTCCAGATGTCTCTCGGCTGATGTGAGACCTGGCCAAAACAAGCAGAAAACAAGGATTAATATACTCCAGATGCCACTACTATCTCCAGGAAAGAATAATAAATAAATAAAGTTGTTTAGGGGCGAAGCAATGACCAAGTCAAACAAGCGAGGGGCCAAATGGAGTGTTAAATGACTAATAGAAGCCCCAGCAGACTGGAAGGAAGTTGTCTTGTAGGGTGGAAGAATGATGGCTTCTCATTTCATGAGGAAATACTGCAAATCATGTACAATTTATATTTCTGATACATGAATTTGGATGCAAAATGAAGTCAAGAATTGAGAAAAAAAAACAAACAAAAAAGCCTGGAGATGCAGACAGTCGCAATATTCACAGAATATTTCAGTGCTGGTTGTTTTACCTTTGCAAGACTGTATTATTATGATTTATGCAGATCAACAACGGAGGGTAACAAATGTCCTTAATGAACAAGCAATTAACAGTACACATTTTCAACAATCCTAACAAAACCATTCAGCTGAGATTCTGTAATGAAACCATCTTATATACACTGCTACCTTTAGTCTCATGCACACCCACTGAGGTTCGCAGTGCCAAATGAAAATTCCTAGAATTTTTTTTAAAGGGCAACCATTCTCATCACCTGCACACTGGGGTACAAACCTACTGGGAGACCATGCTGTTGAGCACAGAGCCAATGTCACCTGAGGTGAACCATTCCAGCAACTAAAACAGCCAACACGCACAAGACACCGTGAGGACTTTGCAAGCGAACAGAGATGTCACCATAACAAAGAAGAGGCAAAAACAACTTAAGTTATTCAGTTTTACATTATAGCATTACTTGAATTTGACTAATTTGATCTTATTTATTAAACTACACCATATCTGAACAATCTGTCTATATGTATCAATATTAAAGCCCAAGTGTGGCCTCCCTCATAAAAGATGCAGTGAAGAAATATGATGAGAAAAGGAATTGTTTTATAACCAGAACTGTTTTTTGATCAGTTATGTGTTATACTACACTCTAATGACTCTGTTCCTTATCAGTTACCAGATTATTTGTTAATGCGACTCATTTTTGTGTGTTAATTGTTGAAATGCATGCTTAGCTCAAAGAAAACTTTACAAAAACTTTACTCCGTGTATGTGTGTGCAAATATGGGTGTTGTAGTCAATGTCCTTGTGCTGTATGACTAAGTTTTCATAATATTCACAACTAATCCGATACAGTTACTGGGGGCTGTGCATTTGACATCTCTAAGTGATTGTGAACTGTGACATTAATGGTGGACAATGGCTCCAGCATTTACTAAATAAAACAACATTCCATTCAACCTCTAAACAGCATGACTCAAAAAAGGGCCTTGTTTCCTGACTGACTGGGTTTGCTGTACTATGGTGCCTTTGTTTGGGGGCTGTTAGTGTCATATTGTTATTACATTGATAAGGATATGCAACATACCTGGCAGAAGAATCAGTTATACTGTGTTAGTCTGCCTCATACAACAACATAACAGGCCATGATTTTATTTAAAATGTACCTGGAATGAGTTTGATTTTAAACCCATTCGCTACAAGTCTGGGATCAGAGAAGAAGACCTGTCCATTTGGTTCAGGACTATGTTTGTCCATGTTGCACAAGGCCTCTGTATACTCAGCACCCCCTAAACGTCTACAAAAGACAGAGAAAGAGATATTAAACATTAATACTGTCAAACATTTAAATATATATGTAAAGAAATTGGATGAAAGTCCAGTGTTCCATAAAGAAAGCAACTGCCACAGTTATCATTTTGAGGTTGAAGACTGAGTGGTACATTACCCATCTGTTAACTGTATAGGGTTCTGCAGACTCACTGCTGGAAGTATATTATTCTCTAGAAGTCTCTTAAACAGCATGGCTTCCTTCACTCGATATGGGTTCAATAACATAAGCCTCTGACCACATAAAATAACCCAGGCACTCTGAGAGGCCAGTCGGTTTACAAGACGGAGGTCACTTGGCACTACACTGCTCTGGGATGAGAGGCGCTGAAGCTGAAGCCGAAGAGCAACCATGCTACAGGGGAGGAGCTTTGAGGGCTTAGGTATGGGGTTCGTCTTCTTTTGGGCTTGCACAGAGAAGAGTTCGTCCAGCAGCTGCTGGTTGGATGGTGGGGCCTTGCGTTTCTGGCCCTGCCCATGGCTCCTTGGGGTGCTCACACATGGCTCTCTGGGGCCTTCAGCAGAGACCACCTTGGTCCTTTGTTCGTGTTTTTCCAAGTGTTTTTTTGCCTTCTCCTCATACCTGCAGAGTTCAACCAAATCTTTTAGTGTAATCACAGTAAAGACAACCCTAGCCATTATTAAATCTTTTCCAAGCTAGCACCTCAGGATACACTGATGTGTGATTTTAAAATATTCTTTTGCAAACAGAAGTGAACTAAGCAACTGCTGTTGTTGTTACGGTAGCTTAAATGTGACGACACATGGGCCAATCATGGGCGACAGCCCTCCGCACGCCTGTCCCTCCCCCCTCGTGTTCATGGAACTTGATTTTAATACTACCCCCTGAGGGATGCTGAAATGTAGCTCTCGGAACGCACCTCCAAAGCAGGCGGAGGGCATTGGAAACAAATGCAGAATCTGTGACAAGTGCCACACAGCTAATCACGTTTCGGTGGATTTCCACTATATGGTGAAGCATAACTCCAGCATTACATGTGTGTTTTAGCTATTTCCTCTGTGTCGTATAACTGATAAGCTGCCATCTGTTGTTGTCTACTTGGAGCATATCACAGTATGTTCTAAAATAAGAATCTGGATACTGAAACGTCTTGTTTCCAATGTACATTCAGAGAAGGTGTTAGGAATTTGATATAAATAGGGCGCTTTCCTCAGCAAACTGCCAACTCATGTTTCCATATTGCTTCATTTGCACATTAGGGCTTACACACTGGCAACCCATTATCCAAAAAATTTGTTTCTTGTCTAAAATTTGTGTGAGTACAATTCCTAGAAGTGGTGTGCCACTTAGCAGTGGAGGTGAAAGGAGCCACATCTTATTTCATATTTAAGACAGCAGTGAAGCGAGTCAGGATTCTAAATGGATGCCTTTTTCCATACACTCTTCCATACCTTGTGTCAGGCCCCAAAAACTGACACACATTCTGCAGTCACTTTCAATTGGTATGCCGTAATTTACCAGAATGGGGCTGAGGTGCTTTCAGAGAAGTATAATTGTGTTTTCACAATGCCAGCTAAATAGCTCAGAGGATACAGATCAGTTTGTACGTACTTTTACTGATGTGTCCGTTTGAATCCGGACCACTTTAGACACCACTAAAGATTCCATGACAAGATTTTTCTGTTCCTATTTCATAAGTGGCTTTGATACAATCAGTCAACTAAAATTGCACATGGCCTGTGCATTGTGTTGTGCTTTCTGACCTGCTAACAGGACCATTTTATATTTTTTTTGTGTGTGCTTAGATCTCAGAGTTGAGTCAGAAGCAAACACATATCTTAAGCCAGGAGAATGACTGAAAATAACTCCATCCCTGTCTTACCTTCATTAAATCCTTTTACTCTGAGGGGAGCAAGGGTCAGGCACAAACTCTCATTACTTCCATCGGTTCTGAGCCAAATCTGTTCTTGACAAGCCAACTATGTGTCACTTCTCACACAACTTAAGTAAATCTAGGTGAGATTTTTAAATGGACAAACAGACTTGTGTGAGCCTGGAAATGTGACATTTAGATGTTCAATTTATGTTATGACCTCCAATTAAAAATTAGTAAATAATACCAGTTCATATCAGCTTTTAGTAAATCATTATATCCAGTTGTAGTGTCATTATTCTAATTATGGTAAATAAAACTATTTTAAAGGACTTACTATTGAATACATAAACAAGTCAAACAAGATGTAAATTCTCTTAATAAATGACATGCTGTGGAATTAGAGGACATTTTATCATTAGTGAAACCTGTGCAAAATGTTGTCCAACTAACTGCTTATTACAGTACAGTTGTCTGGAAATTAGGAACACAGATCATATCAACACAATTTCCAGACTAAGCTATTCACATACAAACGACAGGTCAAACTTTCCTCATCTCTGCCTTGCAAATAACAAGAAATGGAAACAACTGCTTGGAAAGGCGAAGGTCTGGAAACTCACTTCTTACGATCTTCCTCCCTCAGATTTTTCCACCTCTCGTGAACAGTGATACTAATATCCTGCAGGCTGGCTGTGGGTTTTTCCTTAAGCACTTCAGCTCTGGCCTTCTTCTCAAAGAGGGCAGCAGGAGACAGTGGTGCCCTCAGGGCATGGTTGCTGATCAAATCATAAGCTGTCAGAGTAGCCTGCTTCTCTGTTATGGCATTGAGCAGCTTTTTGTTTGAACTGCTCTGACTCTTGACCTCAGCGGAGTCAGAATGATTGTGGTTTGAGGGTTGATGGATTTTGATGGGCTGCAGGGGTTCTCCTGATAATGGGTCGATCAGAGCCGTCCCCCGGCTCCAGTCCTCAGCTGCTAACTGGTCTTTGCTTGTGTCGGCAACTGATGTTGCATCGTCCTTACATCTCTTTGGGGATTTGCTGGCTGAATCGGTTTCTGTTGCCCGAGTGCAGCTCGGAGCCATTTCATCATCATAAAGAGAAAAGTTAGACTCAAGTTGGACTGGGATCTGGTTGACAATCCAGTCCTCTGCTACAGAAGAAGAAGAGCTGCTGTTTGACATCTGGCGGCCCAGTGAAGCATTGGTGCTTATTGCCGTTGACAGGGCTGTGGCATGGTGTTTAGGCGCATCTTTAAGGAAATTATCACTGTGATTGGCGAGACTCTCATCCCTTTCCACACTTTGCTCGCTGACCACTTGTGAAGCATCAGTCTGCAAAGGACTAGATGGCGTGGCATATGTCTCATGGCCAAGCTCCTTCTCAGCTGGGGGGTCAGTACAGCCATAGAGTGAAACAAGCAATGACTCTACTGCAGTGAGCACAGCCTCCTAAATGTCAAACAGATGGCAGATGGTACGCAGAGTTTAATTTCCAGTCTCATCTTTTAGGCTACCACATACACTACATATTCAACTGATCTGAACTAAGCTTGAATTTCACAGCTACCTTGTTATGGAGAAGAATCTGGGTCTTGTCCGGTGTCAGGTTCACATCAATTGAGGAGGGTGAAACTGTGATTTTAAGCATGAGAATGGGAAAACGATTTCTGCTTGAGTCATCCGGATACTGAGCAATGTAGTGTTGACGCAACAACTGATGATCAATCCCCCAGTTGTACCAGGACAGTATGTGCAAGGAAATAAAAAAGAAAAGAAGAAGGTGTTGAATACAAAGTGTTCACTGTATAAAGTCTGCTGTACTGATTGATCCAAAATGATTCTACCTTCATGATATCTTTATGGTGGACAGGCCGGTTGTTGACAAATAGAAATGTTTTTTCAGAACTAGATGAGCTTGTAGAGGAGTAATCTGCTCCGGGCTTTGGTAAAAAGCCATCTAAAAAAAGCTTAATCAAACAAAAATATACAGTTAAATAAAATGACAATATTAAAAATCCAGCACAAGATAAGAACAAAGTGGATCTTATACAGTACATCGAATGTTCAAAAATGAGTCAAAAGCTGTGTCCCACTGCTAATTAGAAAAAAAAACTGTAAGACAATTTTATATTATGTAATTACAGTTGTAATAAGGACTCAATTTGGCTGGAATGTTTCTGCAAACATTTTAAAAATGACATGCTCAGCAGCTGGCTGGTGCAACAAACTGTGTAACTATAGTTTGAAATGTGAACTTTACATAAACTCTACCACCATTACATGTTCACTCCAGTCCACTGACAGCACAGCTGCACAGCTGGAAGTGTACTGTTAATTCTGGTAGTGGCCAAACAGATGGGCAGGACTGGGTCACAGTGCATCATACATACACTGCCACAGTATAATAAAGGGTGAGTTGTAAAGCTGCATTTCCACGTTTACGCTAGTCATTTTACCACTCCCCTCTCTACATTTTGGAACTAGAATAACTGCTTGGCTGTTGTACGTCTCCACCAGCCAGTCAAATTCACAGGTATGGAACAGAAGTGAAGTCACTGACCTTGACATTGGACCACCAAAATTTAATATGACTGAGTCCAAGCGGACACTTGTGCTAATTTTAAAGAAATTCCCTCAAGATGCTCCTGACATTGCATTCACAAGAATCAGACAGACGGAGAGACAACCCCAAAACATAATGCCTCCTGCCACAGCTATCACCAGAGGCATAAAAACCAAACAAAAAAATAAAACAGACGGTTACCTTCTCCATGTATCTACCTAGAGGCAGAAAGTTACCACTCGACAGTATTTTAATTACAATCAGCGCGGCAAAGATTAGCTAACAAAGATCACCCGCTCTTCATCAAGAAAGAACTCAAAAGAAAAGGGCAAAAGAAAGAGTTGGCCAGCCACCAACTGACCAAATTTGCTGGCTTGGGACCAAGCATTCCTGGTGAGGTTATTAGCTCACAGTCTAGTATAGCGTGCATGCTCTCCTTTGCTCTGCAAACAATTATCCATCTTAACCAGGTGTAAAATGTAGCGCTGACAGTTAAAATTAGACTTTTCTAAAACAAATAAATGGTCTTATACTTGTATAGCGCCTTTCTATCCTTTACAGCACACTCAAAGCGCTTTCACACTATTTGGCCATTCACCCAGTCGCACCCCCAGACACTCACACATTCACACACCGGTGACATCACCAGGAGCAACTGGGGGTTCAGTGTCTTGCTCAAGGACACTTCGACATGTTGACTGGACAAGCCGGGAATCGAACCGCTAATCCTCCGGTTAGGAAACGACCCGCTCTACCTCCTGAGCCACAGCCGCCCCCAAATACGTAACGGAGTCATCACCATCGTGCAAGTCAACTTATTTTAAACTTGTTTTCACGTTTCCTTTTAGCACCAGTGTCACACAATGTCAAGCAGTGACTTTTAGAACATCCCTGAAACAAGAAAAATGTAATTAGTTCCACCACATCACGAAAATTGATTTGAATTTTGACTGAAAATGAGTCTGAAAGAGAGATATCACTTTAGAATAATGTCTCCATAATGAAGAACAACGTACCATGGGAGCTACAGTTAAGTCAGCAATGAGTGCATGAGGTGGGAGGGGTAACGTGCAGCTCTGTGCCAGCTCAGCTGTGCTATGTGCCACCGACACTCATCCATCAGAGTGCAATGCACTGAATACAGTCTCCTCACACTCAGTGCATCATTTGTTACAATGTTCAAAGGTGACTTGGTCCATATAAAACAGTCAAATAATAGATGATCAAATCCCAAACCTGTAAACATGAGCGCTACATACCATGATATAACACAGCTTTTACATACCTGTATTTCTACTAGAAAAAAAAAGAACATAAATTCATCTCTTCTTTAAACCTCACAGTATTTTGTTTGTCTTACAGAATTGCCCACTTTTCTCTCATGTCTGCATTTTCCCCTGAACCAACCTCTGGTTGCTCCTGGTGATGGTGGCAAGGGAGCAGGTTGGCAGCAACACTTGGCCCCAGTGTAGCGAGGAGGGCACTTCTATGATCGGCCACCTTGGCCTTCTGCCAAACCACCACCTGGAACAATATGTCAAGTCCACATCAGGCCAATCGCATTGTAGTAACACCTGTCAAGGTATTAAGTGGACCACCAGGTCCACAGGTACATCTGTCTGCCTCAGTCTGTGTCAGTCTGTGTCACACTGTGAGGCAGGCTGGGAACATGAAAGATGTTAAGCAGTTATAGCAGAAGTAAAAATGTATATATATTTAAATTAACCATGACAAGCCCTGTGTTTCTAAAGGCATTATTTCAACTTTAAGCCTAAGATGCTACATCCACTTATTGACTGTTTCTGTGATTTTAGTTAAGTAGTCAATTAATGATGCAAATCAAACATTTAATTACAACTTTGATCACTGAACATAAAATGCCAAGGTACATTTAAGAAAATGCTAACTTAAGTCATATTTCCTAATAATTTCTACAAATAAAAATAAATGACAAAGTTAAAAACACCTCCAAACAAACTAATAAATAAATAAATAAATAAATAAATGAATGGCACACATGACTCTTGTGATAGTGTGTGTGTCATTTTTAATACAAAATAAGTCGGCACACATGACTCTTGTGACAGTGTGTGTCATTTTTAATACAAAATAAGTCGGGTCTGTAGTTAGTGTGTACCAGCGAATAAATCGCCTTGGTGTTCATTCCTAAAAGCATGCACCCTGTCTCAGCTGAGGGCATGTCTCAGCTATTAAATACACAACCTGGCACAAGTAAACGGATCGCTCCTGAAAACACTTAAAGAAGCTGTGAAACATGACACAAGCCAAATGGCAGAGTTAAAGGTAAAGGATAGGGGGCAACTGAGTTCTGATTGCGCAAAATGGATTTACAACTCTCCTGACAACCTCTACGTTGTCTATAATTTCTAAGAAATTGATACGCTGGTCGTGTGGCTTCTATGTAACCCACACCACCTATATACCTCTGTGCACAAACTGTCGTAGCCTAAAACTGAATCTAGGAACAAGAGCACAGCTGCGTTCAGCAACATAGTCAGGCATTATAATCAGCCAAACCAGAGTTCATAGTCAGCTGTACTTGTGTCTGGAGCACCTGAGAGTTAGTGTGCACTTAGTTGTAGTAGGAAATCGTATAACAGATGGAAATGTCTAACTACTAAATAATTACACACCGATACAAACCAAAATACAAAAACTGGCTTGTTTTTTTGTGGGCACCAAAGGTATGTAACCCTGTACAACCCAAGAGGGCAGGTGATAAAAAGTAATCAAATACATACTTAAAACCAAAAGTCACACCTGAATGTCATTACAGTACGTTGGTTAAATATCAGTAAAGATTTACATACGTCACAAATACAACAGCTGAAGCAATAAACTGACTAATTGTTCAATTTGATAATTAATCATGTAAAACTACCTAACATTTGGAGGGTATTAATATTTCGATCAATTCAGCTTGAATCACATTATAGAAGCTACTGCAAATGTTTTTATAATTAGTTAAAAAGTCTGATGGATATCTACTGTATGTAACTGATTACTAACATTTAGAGCAGCGCTCCAGATGTTAACATCTTCTTTTCATCCAAAAACAACTCTTTTAATATACAGACTAACTATTCCTTAGAATCACATCCACACCAATTAAAAGAGTCCAGTGACTCAGAGTTACACCTTTATATCTACTGGCACACACTACACGGATGTGGTTTTTACATCTTTTTTCAAATTGAATGAGTTAAGATTTTCTCCAGCCTGGCCAGCACAGACTCACAAACCTGGCCATGTTCAGCTTTTACCTGGGACTTTACAAATGTGGAGTCCATGTGTTTTTAAAGCGGCACAAATTAAATGAATATTTTATAGTTCCCATCACATGTAAAGATTTCGTGGTTCACTGACAAACATTTGTACTGACAAAAAAGGACAATTTGTTCAAGAGGATGCTGCTTCTGAAGAAGCAAACACCAAACTCTACCATCAAAGAAAGCTGTGCCACCCTGTAACTGTAAGCTGAGGAGGCGGAGAAGAAGCATCAACATGCTGAGGACCAAAAATGACGGAATCACACATTAACAGGAGTTTTTTTCCCTTTAACATGTAAATGAATATCCTCTGTGGGCACTAATCTTACAAAGCAAGTGCTCGGTGCTTTGGATGTGCAACACATCACTGATGTCGCAGACATAACACCATACAATAAATTGGACATACTGGCAGAAACTAAAGAGGTTAATGATCCAATGATGTTGGCACATTCATTTGAAGACTAATGAGGACACCTGGCGGTTGCTGTGTGTGTAGGAATACATGTTGTATGAACAGGGATTTAGATCACTTATATGCATGACAGATTATATAGATGAGTGCATGCATGCATGCATATAATGTACTGTATATATAATCTGGAGAGCTAGTGCAGAAGGCACAGGTCAGATGAACAGCACAGAGGTACAATAGTATTACTATATTTAATAAGAAACAACTTTGCATTCATGGTAGCATCAGCTGATACAACCTTTGTCCTCACTTGGTTAAATCTGAAAAGTGAGGAGAAGTTACTGACCTTATTGTGAACAAGCATGAGTCTCAAGTCAGGTTTTATAATGGCATATGCCATCAGCAGGTCCTGTACTTTCTTCAGTTCCTCCTTGCACTTCTTGGTAGTGGAGTAGTACTGCCTTCTCACTGGAAGATTCTTGAAAAGCTTTAGTACACTCACTGTTGTTCCTAGAAAACACAAGAGAAAAAGGTGTGCCACATCTTTTGGTAGAAAATTTACTTTTCCTACAAGATATTTTCATAACAATCAATATGGAAGAGGTGCACTTATACTATCTGTGTTTTCAAAAGATGAAAGTAGAAACTGTATAAGATCAGCAAATGAACTTGATTGTGTCAAGCCCAATGACCTATACTTTGAGGGTGAATACCTGTCTGTGTGTGTTACAAACACCTGCATTTTGGGGGTGCAAAGATAAACCAAAATGAATCGGAAAATAAGTCAGATTTACAGCTGAATTGGTTGAAAGCCAGAGATTCGAGTCAAATGTGTTTATGGTCCAAAATCACTACTGAACCTCATAAACGTTCATGACCTCTGTCTGCTAGCATCACATTCACAATGTCTTTACCTCAGACTTTTGTAAACATTTATATTATATAAAAGCAGTCCTACATTTTGTTGGTCACTACATGCGTGGTGCCTGGTGCCTTACCTTGGCCTAAATGAGACGGCTTCTGAGAGACAATCTTCCCTGTGAAGTTCAGTGCATACTGTGTGCTGATGTCATCCTCCTCTGTCTTTGTGGTGACAGCCACCTAAAGGGGAACAGCACAAAACTTCATCCCAGGTTTTAGAATGCAATAAGCCAGGGTGTACATTTGATTTCAAATATATAGTGACAAGACAAAGATTCAACATATCTGTAAGATTAGAAATTTATGCATGAATGACATGAAAGGTTTTCTTTTTCATGAGCTTTGTTATTAGTTCAGTACAAGTATATAATTTATACATCAATGTGTATAAGCTCTGTTAATTATGGTACATTATCCTTTTTTCCTTCTGATCTGCCCATACTAGCTATAGATGCTGAAACGTTTTTACCTCGGCCACAGCACAGATGGACCCCAGCGCTTCTCCTCTGAAACCATATGTTTCCAGATGTTCCAGGTCCTCATGGCTACAGATCTTTGAAGTAAAATGTCTCACAGCCATCACAGGGGTATCTGCAGCTTTGATTCCATAGCCGTTGTCACGTACCTCTATCCGATCCAAACCATAGTTCTCCTACAACGACAAAACGTAATAGATTCTGTAGAATGTCAATGCAGCAGAAGGGGGAATCAAAAACTACATTCACATTACCTGCTGAAGTGACCCAAATCCAATTCCCCCCCGCAAATGACTCAAATCTAATCTTTTCACAGATGTGTGAACAAACCAAATCAGAGATTTTTGAGAATCTGGGATACTTGCATACAATAAATGGTCCTTGATCCGATTCATATTTGATCTCTAAACATAAATTCATGTGTTTTTTTTGTGTTGCTCAACTTTTCTCTGCCAATCATAATGGCTGTGCTGGGGGCAGACTAACACACGTCAGGACTTAATGTGGCTCAGGAGGTAGGGTAGGTCATCTCGAAGCCCAAATGTTGGAGGTTCAGTTCCCTGCTTCTCCAGTCCACATGTAGAAGTGTCCTTGTGTTTGGGGGGTGTGAATGGGCAAATAGTGTGTGTTGAGTGTGTTGCAATGCATATAAAAGTGCTATATAAGTCCACTACCATTTTAGTGTCTCACTCCTCTGTGAATATCACGTCATCATCATTCAATGTCAGCTCTTATTCCAAAATGTGTGATTTAGACACTGTACCAGTTTAACGTCAATGCTTGAAGCTCCAGCATCCATGGAGTTTTCCATCAGTTCTTTGACAACATTCACCACTGAGGTAATGACCTGGGAGCTGGACAGCAGCCGCACAGTGTCTGGTGGCAGCTGCTTCATGACGCCACGTGTCTGTTGAAGAAAAGTTTGGTTTGAATTTGGTACTGCTGTTGTTGACTCATAACAACTGCATGGCATGAGGTGGAGCAAGGCATGAAAAATGCTTTTTGTGAGGTCACTCTATAAAACTATTACATAAAGCAGAACTTCAATTTAGAAAATAATAATACAGTGGAAGGAAAATGTATTCTAAGTCACACACACACACACACACATTGCATTGTTACGAAAAAGCAATTTAACACTGCAAGAGGTTGTTGTTGTTGTTGTTGCTGTTGTTGTCACCGTTTTGATATGGGTTCAAAAGTGTCTCTGTGCCCAGTGGTACATGTTAAACCCATTTCACCGGACTGTCATGGCAGGGGATGAAAACAGAGGCATGGACAGGAATATAAGCATGAGACGTCAACAAAATGCACATACAGTAGGTACAAATGAACTGGCAGTACAGAATGCAGGTCAACTCACAGAAATAACATGACATTTTCAACCAAGAGCTTCCAGTTTAACAGATCGATTAGGCATTTCTAAGTGAAATTAACTTAGTAGGAGTAACGTTGAATTAGTCTCCATACAGGTACACACAAAGACGTCACTGTATAAGACAAGAACACTGCGTTACCTTATATTAACTGCTAGACATATCACTCAAGTTATACCATTTCATACAAGAGAAAATTTTGTGATAAATAAATTTGCGTTAATAAAACAGAGAGACATGTCAGTGAACACCTTAACGTTCATTAAATTTGTTAAAAGACATTTTACCGCACCTTGACTTCTAACGTTAGCTAACTTCTCTGCGACTCATATGAGCCACTTAGACGCTTTGGCTTACAATTAAAAGCCCAATTTTACAAACTGGATATTAAAGTCACCGCCAGCTGAATAACTAAGAACTGAATACTGACTTAGAAACGTTCTCCTGACCACAGACTGTGGACAACAGTCTGCCTTAACTCCGATTGACTCTTTAGAAACAACCAACGCGGGCTACACGGCGGAAACGACCAATGTCCCGCCCCTTCCCTTACACGTTCATTGGTTAGAAGTGATATTAGGGCGGGTTCAGGAAGAAGTCGAGAAAATTCTACCGTGAGTTAAAACTATCAGGTTAGGTAGCTTTACTCTTAAATCAGAAAAAACACCCAACATGTTAACCATAAAAGTAAAAACGTAATCTAAACCTTAATATAACTACCTGCTTCATAGAACTTGTTGTGGGAGGGGCTAAGCCTAACAAAGAATTAGACATTCAATACCTCCATATCAACTTCCGGTCGGCTCAGTTTATGACGTGTGGTCTGGGCTTGGAACCGTATTCCTCCAGAAGGGGATAAACAATTTCTCTCCTTAGCGCTTTGGTTGTACAAATATCGCCACTGTTCGCTACCACCTGTAAGTTTGCAACGCTGTATTTTGGGTTACACATTTGATCACATATGCTCCCGTCACTTAATGTATCTTAGTTACACAATGACGCTGATCGACCTGGTTTTAATAGCGGTGGATTGGGTCAGGCTATGTACTGGAAACGAAAACATGTTTAACGGGTCGTCTCTTGTTTACACGCCTCCTCAGAAAACCATGTTATTACGAAATAGCTTATATTACGTCCCCAAGTTTGTTTTCAAATACTTGTTTACATAATGCTAGTTATTTTAACTGTCATGTTTAAAAGTGCTGTTTGCGGTAGCCATGAACACTAACCAGCAAATAGTCTAATCCAGTGACAGTGGTTTTAGCACCAACCGCATAAAATAGCATCCGATGATTCTTTGCATTATTAGTCATTTTGTCGTTGCAGATACTTAATTACTACAAATTTACATTCTTGTTATCATATCATATATGTCTTTTACAACATGTATGAACTTGTCCATGAATCACTATGGACAAAAATGAGTACATGTATCTCAAATGTAGTTGGTAGTTTCATGTTACACTACATGATAGAAGGCAGTCATCTGGCTCAACTTGTATTAAACTAGCTTAGTAGTCTTCAGATTGCACCATCTCATTTACACTAGTACATACAGTAATACAAGTTAGCTGAAAGGTGGCATATACATCAGGCCTGCTTGGTTCAAATGTGAAATTCAGGTCATCATCGCCTTGAACGACTGCAACCTAAGCTTCTACTAGTCTGGCAGCTGAAAGTGTGCCAAAGGGCAAGGTTCAGTGGATTTGCTAAGGTGTCTTTTTGCTATTAGAGTTGGTGGGGTGAGGGGGGGGGGGGGTCATTGTGCTAGAGGGGTACTTTGGAAGCATCATAAAAAAAACACCCAAGCTGAAAAAGTAAGTTATCCAAATAATGGTAACTGCTTACAGTGAATTGGAAAGAGGAAAATGTTACCTATAAATGTTACACAAAGGTAGTTTTATACTTTTATTGATAGTTTTTTCCCCTGTCCACAGACCAGAATGAATGTGGGTGTGGCACACAGTGAGGTGAACCCAAACACTCGGGTGATGAACAGTCGAGGGATCTGGTTGACCTATGCACTTGGTGTTGGAATTCTTCACATTGTACTCTTGAGCATACCCTTCTTCAGTGTGCCAGTGGTGTGGACTCTAACTAATGTCATACACAACTTTGTAAGTCACATTCTCATCATGTCACTGTTGCTTTCCAAGCCAAACCAGCAAAGGCTGCTAAGAATCGTGCAGTTGCTCTCCATTGCCTGTTTTGACTTAAGGGTGTTTTCGATAAAAATTCCGAATAACAAAAAGGCAGATGTAGATTTCAGGCATATCTTGCATGCATGTTTAGACTATAGTCTGTTATCTTCTGCCTGTCTGTGCTTGTGTATGCTTAAGATATGGTCTATTTTGAGTAGGCAGTCTTTGTGGCAGGCAGATGCATGAGCCATTATTTCTTCACTCCACATAAGGTCTGTAAACAAAACCGATGTTGCATTGTTACATATCGAGCCTCAAATAAAGAAACAAAGTCTGTGTATGACATAATTCATTAGTGCAAGCTTGAAGTGGTTTACAAAGATGGTGAATCACAACCAATATGGAAGGCTATTAACGGTACCAACTAAGGTCAACTATAGCACATTGTTTTCCACACAATACAACCATAGTGTGCCGATTGTGCCTTGGCTATGTCAGCATTTTAGTTTTACCACTTTTCCCTCTGTAAATGTTAATTTTGAAATAGAAGCATGCAAATAGAAAGGAGTGCCATTTCCATGATAGTTTTCAATAAACATGCATCATCTTATTAAACTTTTTTGGCTCTTGAATTCATCAAGTGCACAAAGCAGGAGCTGTGTTGTTACTGGATTTTTCTAAATCTAATATTGTTGTGCTGCAACATTATGCAATTCAGACACAAACTCCAACGGCAAAGTTGGTGGTTTTTAAACTCTAAATTGTCAGAGGACACATAGTCACAGACAAAATACTTAAACCAAATGGTCCAAAATTAAATTAGTTGTGACAAAATGCTCCAACTATAACCTCATTTTGAAGAAGAAAACACAAAGACCACTGCATGTAATCAGTCTGCCGGGGTCTTGTACTTTCCACAGTTAATTACTGCACTGTTGATGAAGTGTTTGTCTCTACAGGGAATGTATGTCTTTATGCATGCAGTGAAAGGAACTCCTTTTGAGACCCCTGACCAAGGAAAAGCCAGACTTCTTACCCACTGGGAACAGCTCGACTACGGTGTGCAGTTCACTTCATCTAGAAAGTTCTTCACCATCTCTCCAATCATTCTGTATGTATTAAACAAGATTCTGTCTTTAAACCAAAGGATAATTTAAACATTAAAATAACATTCAGTAGTTTTATCAACACTAGGTCTTTCACACCGACTAGAAAAGAATTTCATCCTCAAGTCTAAAGATGATGTTTTGGAATAGACGTGGAAACTGAAATTCTGCAGTTCATACAATCCCTGGACAGGGAAATCTTCACACTTTTGTTGTTTGTTTGTATATTAATCTACCTGTTCTGCTCTACAGATACTTCCTGGCAAGTTTCTACACAAAGTATGACACAGCACACTTTGTCATTAACACTGCCTCACTCTTGAGTGTCCTGATCCCAAAGCTGCCACAACTACATGGAGTGAGAATTTTTGGCATTAACAAGTATTAAGTTTTTCTAAATTTTGTGCTTCGTAACAACAAGTCAATTCCTGTGTAGTGTACTGCCGATGTGTGTACTAAATCATACAGTGTGTAAACGCGACTGTCATCATTGAGATAACAGGTTTAGGAAGAAATGTTAAAAGAAAAACAAGTAGGTTTGTAGATGACGGGATGCCATATGCATTACTAACTTGTGAATATTTAATTGTCTTTTTGGTTAGCCTAGGCCTGGGCTGGCCCAGGCATCAGTGAGGCTTTTTTTGTCCTCAATATACATGGTAACAAATTGTATGTACAAGTTTGTTTCTAGCCACAAAAAACGCCCCAGTTGTTTACTTTCTAAGGGTAGGAGCCTGTGGCTTGCTGTTTATTAGTACACTCATTTTGTGATGGGTGTCCCATGTGTTCATGCTGAGTGAACAGTGGAATCATAATTATTTGCAAGGGTTCATTGGTATGTGAATCATTTCTAATTTGTAATTCAATGAAAATGGGGTAGTGTTTTTCATTGTACAGTTTTGTGAATGTTACGTTCTGTATGTTTAAAAAAGGTCCTGTATGTAGAAGTGAGACAAACAATTGTCAGGCTTAGTGTTTACCAAGAGAGGCCTAAAGTGTCTTTGTGATAAAATTACAATTAACTAGCTGCTCTCTGTAGATTGACTTTCTATCAACAAGGCAGTTAGATTTGCTTTGTTTGCCTGTAGCTCATAGTACACTTGATAGTTCTTGTTCTTAATCTTATTAAAATGATTGTTCCATCTCTCACTGGTGTGTATTACATGGTTCTTAATGAAAATGTAATGAGCCCTTGCCTAAAAGGCAAACTAAAATAATTCAGAGGTGTCTCTTTTTGTTGTCCCCAGCTACATACACGGGAGGGTCAGAATATTAGGAACAACTCTAAATATATTGTAGTCCAGTACAACACCAGCTTTAACTATGATCTCGACGCATTAACTTGATACATTCTGAGCTTCATAAACAGATGTTAAGGTGGAAGTGTTGCATTGAAGTGCATACAATTGTACAGGTGTATTTAATAAAGTGGCCAGTGAATGTACCTGGAGTATTACAAGACGTTACGAGGGTCTAATACATATAAGCTTGAAAACAATCATTGGTCCTTAACTATGTTTTAAAATGCCTTCATTTGTGTAAAACGCAGTTTGAATACAAACCTGACATCTCTTGCCAGGTGATGCATAGTGTGTCCATAAAAATATGACACACTCGATGTGTAAAAATCCCACCTAAAATCATAACTGAGCCAGCTGAGGTGGCTCGGGCATCTGTTTCGGATGCCTCCTGGGCGCCTTCCTAAGGAGGTGTTCCAGGCATGTCCCACCAGGAGGAGGCCCCGGGGAAGACCCAGGACACGCTGGAGGGACTATGTCTCTCGGCTGGCCTGGGAATGCCT